TTTTAAATTGGGCTAGAGCAGAAAACCTTCAATTGGCCGGATTGACAAAACGGTTTGGTGATGGAATCCAAAAACCCCACCTTGGCTGTGCGTTAGACAACTCATCCAGAAGACACAAGAACTTGGTCTTTCAGTTTTTGGGCGGGATTTCCATCACAGGTACAAAACCTTTTGCACCCAAAGGTCTCAGAATATTTAGTAGCGGTTTCCTTCCAAACAGCTTTTTATAAGGGTGTAATGTCTCCACTAGCCTTTGTGGGGTATCCTTTTCAGTCCCATGCCGGCCTATTGGAATGCCAGGCCCCAGAACACCTTTGGCAGCCCACTATCAATCAATAACGTCCTACCAGTTTTTTGTAGCGTCTGATTAAAGCGTTCAATTACCCCGTTCTGGTAGTGATGATATGTGATCGCCCTTTCAGCAGTGATACCTTTATTTTTCATGAAGTCACCTAAAGATTTTCCATTGAACTCCCCCCCCCCCCCGTTGTCTGATTGGATAATCCTCACTGACAGACCCGTAGATTTCTCCAGTCGTTGTATTATTTCCATGATGAACAGTGTTGCGTCAGACTTCAGTTCAAGAATCTTGATTTTGTTGTATCCCGTCCCGATGTCTAGTATCGTCAAGATGTAACGTCCGCCCGTCATTGTAGGTACCTCGAAAGGTCCGATCAGGTTGACAGTCAGTGCTTCCAACCTGCCAAAATTACGGCCTTCCTTTTGAAGCATTGGAACCATCTTGCTTTTCGAAATCAGGCAAGAAGAACACAAGATTTTACCCGGCGGTAATGAGTGGGGAAGTCCCAAACCCATATTGAATTTAATCATGCGTCTCAGAGTCCTCAGGCTGACATGAACAAACTTCTTGTGAAGAAAAAGCAAGTATTTCTCAGTAGATGTCAAGGAGGGAGCTTGCCAGTCTAAGCCACAAGGCTCCGGACGAGTAACTAAAAACGGTTCGTCATTATCAGGTGCGTCCATAGCGCGGAAGGAGGGCCGGGGTACAACAGTATCATGCGTAGAGATCGGAGGAGGTACAACGGTATTAGGGGTAGTGACAGTACATTCAGACGAGTAACAGGTAGGAGAGACAAAAGAAACAGAAGGGCAAGGAGAACGAAGAGGAGAAGGGAAAGACCATTTGCGAGTTATAGGGTTGAAACAACAGGTAGCCCATAACACATTGCCAGAGAAAACAAGGAAACTATCAGAGCAGTGATTGTAAGAGAAATGAAAACCCGAAAGTCGGAGAGCCGCCGGAGAGATGAGGGTGACATTGGCAAAAGAGCAGTACAGTACATCCTCAAGAATCACCATTGTTCCATTGGCCCCAGTAAAAGCCATGGACCCCCGCGCTGTGATAATTTTAGAGTTCCCGTCAGTAGCCACCTTCAGAGGGATAGGATTGGATAAGACAGTAATATTAAACAGTGCTGACTTATCACCAGTCAAATGGTAAGAGGCACCAGTGTCAAACAAAGATTATTGAGGATTTGAATCGCCAGCCGGGTTTGCAGAAACATCGAGGTTGTTGAAAGACAGGTCGACCGGGGGAACTGCAGCAGGTTCAGCAGCTCGGGCAGCCGGACGGTTGGATTGCTGGCCATATTGGGGACGGTAGGAATCCATGCGGCCTCGCCAAACTGGACTAGAGTTGGGGTTGTGTTGGTTGAGGCGGGGAGGGTAGTACATTGGGACCGCACCAGTCGGAGAAATGATTGGATAGTAAGCCTGAAAACCTGGAGGGACGTGCCCACTCTGTGCCTGGGCAAGCGGCTGTTGGGTCGCTGGGCGGGAAGAAGGATCTGGAGCAGTGAATTGGCTGATAAGGTGGTTGGGAGAACGACAGCAGAAACAGATGCGGCGAGTTTGTTGGGGAGCACCGGCTAGAGCATAAACATTGTCGGGGTGGCTGATAATGGAATCAGATCTTTCCTCACAAGGAGGAGTCGCTTGCTCAGCAGCCATGACGTGAGGCAAGCGGTGATGGTTGTTGAGGGAGTCTACCGCTCAAACCTGACAGATGGCCTCACTCAAGATACGCCAAGTCTTCTCAAAAGTGATCACCTGCCTTCCGTTTAGGTCAAACTCCGTGTCGATCCGTTGGTCAAACTCTTGGCGAAGATTGGAACCCTGAGGGATGGCGTCGTGAAGCACAAGAAGGAGGAGATCATTGTAAGCAAGATAGACCCCCATATCACCAAGTTTGTCCACAATGGCCTTGTACTGGGTGGCCACGCTAGCTGGGTTAGAGGTCATATCCACGTGGATACGAAGAAGTTCGCGCCACTTGGTGAGCATTCAAGCTTTGATGGCCGAGCTGAAACAGGCCTTGATGGCCTCCATCATCTTGTAGCTGGACTCCTTGGAATAGAGCTCATGCTTGAGCAAGCTGTTGATAACACCAAGAAGGATTCTCCTGCCAGCAGGCTCCAACCAAGGATGGGTGCAGGGGGAGTTTAAGAAGTCTTTGTCCTGCAAAAAACTTGGGGCAATCATTTCAATGTTGTGAGTCCAGGCGCGAAAGTTGGAACCGTCGGCTAAGAGGAAGTTGCCAGAGCCAAATTCCTGGATAGCATTGTTGACCATGGAGTTGATGCCACACTGGTTGTCCAGGGAATGGTGGGTGGGGAGAGGCGTGTGATCACGATGGCGGCGCCTAGTGTCCACATTCCGATCATCAAGGTTGCCCCGGGGTTTGTTGGTAGGACCAGCATCATGTTGATCATCAAGTAGCGTATTGTTGTGGAAAGAGGCATCACTGGCGTCCTCCAAAGATCCCGGGGTCATGGTGTTACGGTTTCTGACTGGGGAGTGGCAAACAAGAGGCATGGTGACAAAGGCGGAAGACTTAGGGTTGGAGCAGGGTAAATAACAAAGGAAAAGTAAGGAGGATACGATGTAAGACTCAAAAGTGGTTATGAAACCCTCTTGCTGAATGGAGAAGGGGATGATGGAGTTGCAAGCTCTGCCCTTCTATGCTATCAGAACAACAAGACCACCAAGCTTAGCTTGGCAGTTATATTTATTGTGATAGAGGATAGTTCAAGATGAAGCTTCCGAGTGATGTGTATAAGGGTCTGAAGTTTTTAATGAGTGATGATTATGTTGATGGAGTTGTTGTTCAAAGCTTTAATACCAAGGCTTGGAGCTCTGGGAGCGCTATGCTTCAACCAGTAATGGTATGTGAGTAAGGATGGCAAATGGGCAGGGTGTCCAACGGGCCACCCGAGCCCATTAGGGCTTGGGCCGGGCTTGGCCCGAACCCGTTTAGGAATAGCCCGTGTTTGACCCGGCCCAGCAGGCCCGCGCTTGGGTCGGGCTGGGTGGGGTGCCCATTGGACTCTTAATGGGCTCCCCCATTCAGTGTTCCCCGGCCGGGGGTGGGGGGAGGCCGAGGGGCGGCGGGTGCTGACAGCTGGGCCGTGGCTGAGCCTTGAGTCTTGAGTTTGACTCAAGCACTTGGGTTCAAAACTTCAACTTGTCGCTGGTGGGCCGTGGACAGTCAACTGTCTTACTTCAAAGTTCTGAGAATCAGGAATCCCAAATCCTTCGCTTCGGACTGGCGTTAGTGTGATTCGTACGGTAAGCTTTGAATAAGCAACATTCCAATCTCGATCTTCATCCGGCTGAGACTCTGAGTTGGCACTCAAGTCTACGACTGCGACTAATCACTAACTCTGTCCGAGGCTCCTGGAGTCCAGCGGCTGCGAATTGATATCCGAATCAGAATCCGATTCCAAATTGATTGACGAGTACGATTTGGATTCTTATTTCCAACTTACATACAGGCTCCAAGCTCATCGACTCCAACTCGTTTGCACCTGGAATCCTCGCTTGCGATTCGTACTCCAACTCGTTTGCACCTGGAACCTCGCTCGCGATTCGTGGTGGACCAACTCGTTTGCACGGGCACGTGGAATCTTTGCTGGACCAAAAAGCGAACACCTGTAAGTACATGACATTCATATAATCAAACTTCAATGTTACATTCTTATCTTATTGTGTCCAACATAGGGCTGATCCAGACTGTATCTTCCCACCCCACCGAGGCTCACAGCTACACTTTCACAAAGCACAACCCAATTGTCTTCTGGGTTCTTTTGTGATAACTTATCCACAGCAGAAACCAGTAAGTGCATGCTGTATAAATTCTCATATTCTCATCCTTCTGTTCAACATGAGCTGATTCAGTTTGTATCTCCCCACCCCAAATCTGATTCTCCCAGCTACACATTCACAAAGCACCACCCAATTTTCATCTGGGTTCTTGTGTCATAACTTATCTACAGTACAACAGAAACCTGTAAGTGCATGCTGTATAAATTCTTATTCTCATATTCTCATCCTTCTGTGATATTATTCTTCTGTTCAACATGAGCTGATTCAGTTTGTACCCCGCTCCTAATCTGATTCAGTTTGTATCTCCCCACCCCAAATTTGAAGGCACTCCCCAAGTCCCCACCCACCTCTAAATAAACTGTAATTCCAACTCCAAACTGTCCCCACCCCCATTTGCATCTATCCACAGTGAGTCAACCCAAACAAAATGGTCATACCCAACACCAAGAGTCACAGACGCCGCAGTCCATCACCAAGGGAAAGTGAGAGCGAGTCAGATGGGGCATCTGATATCCAGGAGACCCCTGTACGATTCCACCCGGCAAAGACGGGTACTAGACGGACACCTCAGACCCCTGCTGGCCCCGCTGCAGAAAGTGTGAGTGAATCACAAGAAGACAGCCAGCAAAGAGCGCAAACGTACAGCAAGGTTTGGGGAGCACTTCCTGAGCCTTGA